CTCCGCTGGGCCTCCCAGGAGCCCGCGAAAGTGGCGACAGCGACAGTTGCACAGATCGTTCCGTAGCCATTTTGGCTCAAGCCGCTTTGTTTTGAGGGAGGACTCCGAACTGGCCCCGCGCGCCGGCACAGCAACAGAACTCACCTCTCAGAACAGCAGGACACCAGCATGCTCAGCCCTCGTGCCATGGTCCGAGACGGCGAGGCGAGTCTCGCCGAGCCCAGGAAGGGCGGGGCCGCGAGCCCCGCCTCGGCCCCCACGCGGTGCCCGTCCGCGGAGCTGCTCGACTTCGGCGGCGCCACGGGCGCCGACGCGCGCGAGGGGAGCCGGGGCGCCCCCGTGCTGCCGGAGGGCGGCGAGGAGCCGGTGCTCCTCGAGCAGGCGCTCCTGCCGGCACCGCAGATCCTGCCCGCACCGCAGACCACCAGGAGTATGCCTGCGGCGCCGGCGCCGAGAGCTGCCCCCGTGAGGCGCCTTCGCTCCGAGTCGTATTGGGAGCAGCAGAGGGCCGCGGCTGCCCTGCAGCCGAGGTGCTCGCCCTGGGAGGTGGGCGTGAGGGAGCGGCGCCTGGTTGCCGAGGAAGGCTGCCTCGAGCCGGCGGCGGCCGCGGCGCCGGCGGCGGGAAGCGCTGCAGGCATCCCCAGGGGCTGGGCTGGCGCCGCCGCCAGGGAGCTGCGCCGTGGGGCGCACGGGCCCGCGGCGCCGGCAGCCCCGCCGGCCATGCCGCCGAGGTCGCCTTCGGCAGCACGCCTGACCGCTCTGAGGTCGCATGGCCGGTCGTACCACCCAGCCTGAATCCGCCAGACGTGGGTCTGAGGAGTGCCTTGCTATGTTGCCAGCGCTTGCCCGCGTCCAGGGCGGCCGTGCAGTGCCAGAGCAGAGCGCTGTGGAGCAGTGTACTCATTTTATCTCAAAGGTCATGGTGGAGCTGTGGCGCCGTCTTCTGGTACGTTTCGTTCTCAGATGGAAGTAGTTATTTCATCTAGTACGGACCCCGTCATGCTGCACTTTCGCTCGTGTTGCACAGGCGGGCTCGATCGGCTGCGATTGTTCAGTGGGATGGAGTTTCGGGTCCCACGTCGTCGCGTCATCGTGGTACTCTGTTTCAGCACTTTTTTTTGTTCGGGGGCTGCGCGCGCTTATTTTCGTTGCGATTGCCTGGCGTCGTCGCGTTTCTGAGTTGCGGTTGGACGGCGCGGGAAAATGCTGTAGTGCACAGCGCATCTCCAGCAGCTGATAGTCGAGAGGCTGCACAGAAATTGGCTTCCACTCTTCACTCTTGGCGGGTTTCGGGATTACTTGGAACGGTCGGAGCCAACTAAGTATTCCCAGATAGCGCACAGAAGCCGAGGGTCTGGGGGTCTTCTCGCGCTCGGCTGCCAGGACCGCCGAGAGCCTGTGGGCAGTCTACCACCGTGCCAGAGGTCCGTTGGCGGACGGGCCGTAGGAGTGCATACGATGTTGGAGACGTCGTGGTAGCACTGCTCGCGTGTGCTTGGCCTGTCTCGCGTGCAGCTGGAATGTAGGCACACAAGGGCTACTAGGTCACGCCAGACACCCATAATCGTCACCGTACGTACTTTGTCCGTCTTTCCGAGCTCGGCTGCGATCTGGGAGTTGGGCCGAGCCCAGCCCTGCGTTCACAGCTCAGACATGCTGCTTCTACTTCTCCTCGAGCTGACAGACGGCGCCCGTCGGTTTGCAGCAAGCTCGGGGCGATTCAGAGTAGCTTGCGACGTGCGGACTCGTCTTCGCGTCCAGGCAGGTTGTGCGGTAATGTTGACGTGGTAGCCCCAAGAGACCCGATGTACCCCTCTAGAGGCTCTGAGGCTTTCCCTCAGGCTCGACTACCAGGGCCGCCGATAACATACGGACTGCCCAATACGTGTAAAAGCACGGTGGTGGGCAGAATGTACAGAGAGCATGCGACGTTGGAGACGTCGTGTCGGCAATTCGCTTGGGCTAACTTGCGGTTTGGCTCGTGTGGCGTAGCCTTTCCCATCTGCGGTTTGGATTGAGACCTTTGGAGGTCACGTCATTCATCCACACGCATCCCCATACGTACTTTGCCCGTGTTACCGGATCTAACTGCGATCCGGGGTGCGGGCCGATTCCAGCCATACGTTCGTTGCTCAGACAGGGTGTGTGGTGTTGTTGGCGAGGATGGCGAGGATGACGATGGCGCTGAGGCGTGGTAGGGCTATTCTCTGACCCATTCGCTCTGGTAGCCGCTTGGGCCAGCTTGACGGCGCTGTTGCCCGCGCCCTGCTCATTCGCCCTCCCCCCCTCCCTCCCCCCCCGTATGCGCCCCCTCCCTCTCCCTTCCTTCCCTTTGTTTTGTGCGACTCCGTGGGCCCCAGGTTCGAGCTTGGAACCTCGGGCGGTGAACCAGAATTCGGTGCAGCCTTGGGGTCAGCTTCCAAGGCGTGGTGGATCCTCCCTCTGACAATGAGGATAGTCTGTGGGCCTCTACGGAGTGTTCCTTTTTTTCTTACCCCCTCCCGTCGTCCTTCACTCCAAGCACCAGCTTGAGGTCGTGCACCGGCGATGCTCCGGACTGCCGCTATAAGACCATTCGAGGTTGGGATGATGCTCCAATGTTTTGCCCTGCAGTCCAATCCCAGCCTCTCTGCCTTTGGAGCATGACTCTGCAAGACATACCTGCGAATCTATAATCGATGTGCATTCCCTCGGAGCTGCTGCAATTCAGGATGCCCCAAACAGTATCTAAAATAGTGTTATAGAGGGGGGGGGAGGAGGAGGAGGCCTGAGGCTTTTTTAGGACAGCCTGTGGCTCTCCTGAGGCCGTTTTGGGCCGTCCAGGGCTCCTCCTTTTGCGCTGTGGCAGTTTGGGGGCCCCGCGCACAGACAGGAGAACCATATTCTAAAATGCACGCATCGAACATGTTCTTCTGGCGAAATAGATGCGGACGGCTCCCCGCTGAGGCCGGGGCGCGATCGCATCTCAACGCTTCTGAATTTTTGAATATAACTTGCAGGAGGCTGGAGCGGTGCAGCCTGCAAAAGGATTGGGCACGCTCTACCGGCATAGTCGTCCCTTGAGTGTACAGCTTTCGCATATTATTTGAGACGCTGCAAGAGTACGCCTCGGCAGTAAAAACAACAGAGGGGCTGGAGCGGTGCGCGGTGCGGAAAACAAAAAAAGAAAGTTGCACAGATCGTAAGCCCCCCAGGGGGCGGCGAGGTCCCGAGGTGATCTGCGTGGGACGTACCTTCTCCGGGCCTCCCAGGAGCCCACGAAAGTGGTGACAGATGCGCAGATCGCAGCCCCCAGGGCACCGCGAGGTCCCGAAGTGATCCGCGTTGGACGTACCTCCTTTGGGCCTCCCAGGAGCCCACGAAAGTGGCGACAGTTGCGCAGATCGCAGCACCCCAAGGCACCGCGAGGTCCCGAGGTGATACTCGTTGAACCCACCTCCGCTGGGCCTCCCGCGAAAGTGGCGACAGTCGCGCAGATCGCAGCCCCCCATGGCGCCGCGAAGTCCCGAGGCGATCCGCGTTGGGCGTACCTCCGCTGGGCCTCCCAGGAGCCCGCGAAAGTAGCAACAGTTGCGCAGATCGCAGCCCGACGGCACGAGAGAAGAGGAGAGGGGACACAGGAAACAGGAGAGGAGGAGGGGAGGAGGGGGGAGGAGAAGGAGGAGGCTGGGGCGACCACGCTGCTTGATTCAAAACGAGTACCCAACCATAGGAGGGCTGGGGGGAATTATCCTGGCGAAGGACCCAACCATATGCAGTTGTGAATACCGCAATTGTGAATACCATTTTCGCCCGCGCTCCCTATGTGGCCACGGTTTCCCGCCGGAGCCCGACATGCTCAGGGACACGTTCGTGGCCGTCTTCGCGGGCGCCGACGACGACAAGGACGGCGCCCCTCTCACCGAGGAGCAGAAGCAGGGAAGGGCCTTGAGAGCCATGAGGGAGGAGGTGGCGTTGCACGTCGACAAGGCGGAGTACGACGCCCAGGCGCGGTTGTTGAAGCAGCACAAAAAAAACTATGGGGCCACGATCCTCGTGAGGGGTGGCCCGGGGCCGCCATGCGAACCCTGCCACTGGCGCCTTCGGCGGAGCTCCAGTGGGGCCACGGTCCTCGTGAGGGGTGTGCCGAAATGGCCCGAGGCCGCCATGCGAACCCTGCCACCGGGGCCTTCGGTGGAGCTCCCTATGGGGCCACGATCCTCGTGAGGGGTGTACCGAAATGGCCCGAGGCCGCCATGCAAACCCTGCCACTGGAGCCTTCGGTGGAGCTCCCTATGGGGCCACGGTCCTCGTGAGGGGTGTGCCGAAATGGCCCGAGGCCGCCGTGCGAACCCTGCCACTGGGGGCCTTCGGTGGAGCTCCAATAGGGCCACGGTCCTCGTGAGGGGTGTGCCGAAATGGCCCAAGGCCGCCATGCGAACCCTGCCACCGGGGGCAGTCGGCGGAGCTCCCTATGGGGCCACGATCCTCGCGATGGGGTGTGCCGACATGACCAGAGGCCGCCACGCGAACCCTGCCACTAGGCCCTCGGTGGAGCTCCCTTATGACTCTACGAACGTCGTGAGGGGCGTGCCGAAATGGCCCGAGGCCGCCATGCGAACCCTGCCACTGGCGCCTTCGGTGGAGCTCCCTTTATGGGCCCACGATCGTCGTGAGGGGTGTGCCGAAATGGCCCGAGGCCGCCATGCGAACCCTGCCACTGGCGCCTTCGGTGGAGCTCCCTATGGGACCACGATCCTCGTGAGGGGTGTGCCGAAATGGCCCGCGGCCGCCATGCGAACCCTGCCACTGGCGCCTTCGGTGGAGCTCCCTTATGAGTCTGCGAACGTCGTGAGGGGTGCGCCGAAATGGCCCGAGGCCGCCATGCGAACCCTGCCGCTGGCGCCTCCGGTGGAGCTCCCTATGGGGCCACGATCCTCGTGAGGGGTGTGCCGAAATGGCCCGAGGCCGCCATGCAAACCCTGCCACTGGAGCCTCCGGTGGAGCTCCCTATGGGGCCACGATCCTCGTGAGGGGTGTGCCGAAATGGCCCGAGGCCGCCATGCGAACCCTGCCACTGGGGCCTTCGGTGGAGCTCCCTATGGAGCTACGAAACGCTGTGCTGGGTGGGTGAAACGCAAGGAGGAGGGGGAGAAGGAGAGGAGGAGAGGAGACGCGAGCCACCGTCTCTTCAAAACGAGGACCCAACACCACAGGATGGTTTGGAAAAGTACCTTGTGACGTACCCAGCCCTTTCTATACTCAGGACCACTCAATGCTGGCTGGCATTCTGAAGGACCCGCAGTGCGCAATCAGAGAACCCATAAGTGATTCCAGAAGAGCGCAGCAAGAAGAGGAACGGCAAATATACAAGATGGAAACACATGGGCGTTAAAAGAAACGCGTACGACGCACCTCCGAGTGATCCGCGTGGGACCCACTTCCGCTGGGCCTCCCAGGAGCCCGCGAAAGTGGCAACAGTCGCGCAGATCGCAAGCCCCCCAGGGGGCGGCGAGGTCTCGAGGTGGTCCGCCTGGAACCCACCTCCGCTGTGCCTCCCCGGAGCCCGCGAAAGTGGCGACAGCTGCACAGATCGCAAGACCACCATGGCACCGCGAGGTCCCGAGGTGATCCGCGCGGGACCGACCCACCTCCGCTGGGCCTCCCAGGGGCCCACGAAAGTGGCGACAGCTGCGCAGATCGCAGCCCCGCAGGGCGCCGCGAGGTCCCGAACTGATCCGCGTGGGACCCACCTCCGCTGGGCCTCCCTGGAACCCACGAAGGTTGCGACAGCTGCGCAGATCGCAAGCTCCCCAGGGGGCGGCGAGGTCCCGAGGTGACCCGCGTTGGCCCCACCTCCTCTGGGCCCCCCAGGAGCCCGCGAAAGTGGCGACAATCGCGCAGATCGCAAGCCCCCCAGGATGCGGCGAGGTCCCGAGGTGATCCGCGTTGGCACCACCTCAGCTGGGCCTCCCAGGAGCCCGCGAAAGTGGCGACAGTTGCGCAGAGATCGCAGCCCCCCAGGGCACCGCGAGGTCCCCAGGTGATCCGCGTGGGACCCACGTCCGCTGGGCCTCCCAGGAGCCCACGAAAGTAGCGACGGTTGCGCGGATCGCAGCCTCCATGGCGCTGCGAGGTCCCGAGGTGATCCGCGTTGGACGCACCCCCGCAGCCCCCTGGGCACCGCGAGGTCCCGAGGTGATCCGCGTGAGACCCACCTCCGCTGGGCCTCCCAGGAGCCAACGAAAGTGGCGAGAGTTGCGCAGGTCGCAGCCCCCCAGGGCGCCGCCAGGTCCCGAGGTGATCCGCGTTGGCTCCACCTCCGCTGGGCACCCCAGGAGCCCACGAAAGTGGCAACAGCTGCGCAGATCGCAGCCCCCCAGTGCGCCGCCAGGTCCCGAGGTGATCCGCGTTGGCTCCACCGCCGCTGGGCCTGCCGCGACGTCCCGATGTGATCCGCGTTGGTCCCACCTCCGCTGGGCCTCCCAGGAGCCCACGAAAGTGGCGACAGTTGCGCAGATCGCAGCCCCCCAGGGCGCCGCGAGGTCCCGAGGTGATCAGCGTTGGCCCCACCTCTTCTGGGCCTCCCAGGAGCCCACGAAAGCGGCGACGGTTGCGCGGATCGCAGCCCCCCCAGGGCGCCGCGAGGTCCCGAGGTGATCCGCGTTGGCTTCATTTCCTCTGGGCCTCTCAGGAGCCCACGAAAGTGGCGAGAGTTGCGCAGATCGCAGCACCAAGGGCGCCGCGAGGTCCCGAAGTGATCCGCGTTGGCCCCACCTCCGCCGTGCCTCCCAGGAGCCCGCGAAAGAGGCGACCGTTGCGCAGATCGCAGCCCCCCAGGGCGCCGCGAGGCCCTGAGGTGATCCGCGTTGGCCCCATCTCCGCTGGGCCTCCCAGGAGCCCGCGAAAGTGGCGACAGACGCGCAGATCGCAGCCCCCCAGGGCGCCGCGAGGTCCCGAGGTGATCCGCGTTGGACGCACACCCGCTGGGCCTCCCATGGGCCCGCGAAAGTGGCGACGGTTGCGCGGATCGCAGCCCCCCAGGGCGCCGCGAGGTCCCGAGGTGATCCGCGTTGCCCCCGCCTCCGCTTGGCCTCCCAGGAGCCCGCGAAAGCGGCGACAGACGCGCAGATCGCAGCCCCCCAGGGCGCCGCGAGGTTCCGAGGTGATCCGCGTTGGACGCACCCCCGCTGGGCCCCCCAGGAGCCCACGCAAGCGGCGACAGTTGCGCAGATCGCAGCCCGACTGCACGAGAGAAGAGGAGAGGGGAAAACGGAAAACAAAAGAGGAGGAGGGGGGAGTGGGGGGGAGGAGAAGGACGGGGCGACCACGCTGCTTCATTCAAAACGAGCACCCAACCATGGGAGGGTTTGGGGGGTGGGGGGAGGCATTGCCCTGGCGACGTACCCAACCCCTGCGCAACGCGGGGCATGAGTAGCTTGGGATACGTTATACGGAGGTGATGACGTGACATGGGCGCATATATTTCTGCAAGCGGCATTCGTGAGGCTCGCTGCCCCCCAGGGACGGCGAGGTCCCGCTCAGGTCCGCGCGGTGCCTCACTCCGCAGGACCCACCAGCAGCCCTCGAAAGCGGCGACGGTTTCGCAGATCGCAGCCCCCCAGGGACGGCGAGGTCCCGCTCAGGTCCGCGCGGAGCCTCACTCCGCAGGACCCACCAGCAGCCCTCGAAAGTGGCGACCGGTTCGCAGATCGCAGCCCCCCAGGGACGGCAAGGTTCCGCTCGCACCAGCAGCCTTCGAAAATGACAACATTTCGCATATCGCACCCCCCCACCCCAAGGACGGCGAGGTCCCGCTCAGGTCCGCGCGGTGCCTCACTCCGCAGGACCCACCAGCAGCCTTCGAAAAGGGCGACAATTCCGCAGATCGCAGCCCCCCAGGGACGGCGAGGTCCCGCTCAGGTCCGCGCGGTGCCCCCCTCCGCAGGACCCGCCAGCAGCCCTAGAAAGCGGCGACAATTTCGCAAATCGCAGCCTCCCAGGGACGGAGAGGTCCCGCTCAGGTCCGCGCGGTGCTCCATTCCGCAGGAACCACCAGCAGCCCTCGAAAGCGGCGATAGTTTCGCAGATCGCAACCTCCCAGGGACGGCGATGTCCCGCTCCGGTCCGCGCGGCGCCTCACCCCGCAGGACCCACCAGCAGCCCTCGAAAATGACGACAATTCTGCAAATCGCAGCCCCCCAGGGGCGGCGAGGTCCCGCTCAGGTCCGCGCGGTGCTTCACCCCGCAGGACCCGCCAGCAGCCTTCG